GAAGGATAATAAAGTCAACATAATTTGGCGAGAAAAAGAAATATGAGAAAGAACCAGTTAGCAATATCAAAAGTAAGAGAATTTTTAAAAAGCACCCACTGAATTTAATGTTTGAGGGATAATAATATGTAAAAATGCAGACAAGCGAGCTTTACCCTAAACAAATATGTTGAAACTTATATAAGTAGTACGTAATATGAACTTCATTCTATTATTTACTTCCAAAAAGAACAGTTTTTAAAAATGGCTATAGCAAATATATCCCAAGCCAACAAGCTAATATATTTAGCCATTTTTAACTTGCTATTTGTCACAAAAGATTTTTCCTAGTGAAAATTCAAAACAGCTCAACAGTAAATAGTACTTTTCATGCTGAAAAAAAAAATCACTTAAAATCCCCAAATTTTCCTAAATATTTTATGTCTGGTAGAAAAAATAATAATGTTTGGATTATATGTATGTATACACATATACTTTGCTACAGGACTTTACACATAATTTAAGCAGAAATGCCATTAATCTAAAAAAAGTTAACAAGCCTCTTTTGACTCTGAAGTAAGGCCTCCACATAATTCTGTTAACAATTATTAATATAACATGTTCATTGATTTAACCAGACTTGAAAGTTCTCTCTCTTGAATTTATACATACTTAAATTTCCTTTTAATATAATACTTTAACATCTATTATAAATGCTAGAATTTATTTTATACAACAGTAACCATAGTAATAAAATACATTTTTAAACAATGGTAGTGAGTATAATATAAGCAATAGCTAAAACATGAGATTTATTGGATATAAGTTTATGTTTAACCATTTCTAATTTTGTTCTACTCTCTAATCTGATTCGAGTATATCTCTACTATCAAACTAAAAAGTCAAAGATAGTACTAGTAAGCTTTCTCCTGGCAATGCCCTCCAGACAAAGAACACAGGAACACTACTGTAGTTAAACTATTTGGGTTTATTACTTATTGCATGGAGAGATGCATCCTTATTTTAGTAAGAGGGTGTTAGAAAAGACTTACAGGACTCGGGATTGTGTTAGGTGATTTGGAGGAGGATTTAAGGAAGTGGAGCTTTGCTCTGGATTTAATGCTGTCAGGAAGTGGGGTAACTATGACTGGACATCTTAGTAAAGTCTTATCTGCAGGGTGAGGCCAAAGCTTTAACTGGTAGAGGCAGCAGTCACTCCTATTAGGTGGGAGAAGAGCTGTCTGGCATTTTGTGGCCTGGACAACATTCATGTTTTGTCTGTGTTTGGATGTGATTATGGAGTAGTGGTGTTTTTGTCTTGATCCATCATAGACACACAAAGCAGCCTCAGTCTGATGTTGATGTTCTGTACAAGTGTTTATCTTCAACAGAAGAACATCAAGCCTAAGCAGTATTGTCAGGCCAGTTCCTAGCAACACTAAAGCCTTGGTGATAGCAGAGCCAGTTTCTAGCAGTCATGACTACTTTCTCTTCTTATTTCCTAAAGCATGTGACAACTTACATAAAACAATTTCAACTACAAAATTACTCAAGAATTACTTAATAATTCAGAGAGACTGAGTCAATGTGTACAGCCTAAGTATAAAATAGAATAAGAATTTTAAAATTGTTACCAGAAAGAAACCTAAACGGGATTCTTTATCTTCTTTCACTATACAATGTAAAATTACTCACAACATTTTTCAAGATAGTACCAGGTTTATTTTTTCCCCAGTACCTGTGTACACAGTATGTAGATGATAAACAGTTTTCAGGAAAACAGTTTAGCTGAAAGACCTGAATTTGAAACCCCATTCAATCACTAATTAACTGTATGTGACCGACCTCAAATACATTCCTTAACCTCTCTATCATTCAGTTTCCCCTTCTGCAAAATAGAAATATCTATTCCAGAGTTGTTCTGAAGAAAAAACAAAATGATGCATATAAAATGTATGGCACACATGACACTTAGAAATCAATAAATCGCAGCTGTTTTATTAATTCTTATTAGTTTCATAGTCTTTGTATACATCAATGTGTTAGCTGCTGTTAATAATAAATCATTAATGATGACCAAGGACAGATACATAAATTAGATGGCCTTTGGGTAATGCAAAATTGCCAAAACACTTGCTCAAACACCTTTGTCTTACACTCAGGAAAGCAGTCAGAATGATGTTAAAAGTATGCCTTTATTTTAAAAGCCTCAAAGTACACTGAGATTTAAATCACCAATAACTGATACTTATCATAATCCAAATCAACATCTATAAATCTTAAATTTAGACCCTTTATGCTTATCATACAGGTAGAAATACAGACAAATCAGAACATATTCAATCTGCTAAATTTAGGCAAACAGGGAGGATCCAGAAATAACTGAGCATGTCCAATTCCTCCTTCCAATTTCATCAATCACAAAGAAAGGGGGAAATGTTCCTCCCATCCTTTTCCCTCTTGAGTCAAGTGCAAATTTCCTCCCCTCTAAGGCAGCATGAGGGACGGAAAATAACGTCCCTCCCAAAGGAGGGCTTTACGGTTCTAGATGCTAGGAGATGAAAAGTACAAGATATGATCCTTGGCCTCCAATTTGGACAAGATAAAATGCCACCTGTCACAGTGGCTCACAGTCCAGATGAGAGTTTAGGGATTCAATGTGAGGTACCCATAAGAGATCCAGTGGATGTATCAAGGGAAGGATTTGAGTATGTCTGGAATTAAGAATTGAGCCCAGGCTAAAAGATGTACAGTTTTTAAAATAACCATTAAAACTATAGGAGAAGAGGGTGCCTGGAAAAAGAGAGCCTAGCGTGGGAGAACAGGACTGAGGACAGAATAGCAGGGAGTGAGAACATATGGGTGTGGGGTGCAGGGAGGAGTCCATGAAAGCCTCAGAAGAAAGAGGGGGAGGGATAAGGTGATCTAAGACAGTGTTTCTCACCCACCCCCAATCCAGAGATCTTTTCACCAAACGAAAGGTGAATCTCTTTCTCCTGGAAGATGCACAACTTACTTCCATGGGCACACCCAAATTTTGACAAATCCCCCTAAATGTTACTAAGAAGTAAACACCATGTTGCTGGGACAAAGGGAGGTTCAGGGTCAGGATACAAAGAGAGTGAATACAGGCATACCTGGTTGTACTGTGCTTCTAGCTTTATTGCACTTCACAGATGTTGCGTTTTTTACAAATTGAAGGCAAGACCTTCCACCTGCAAAAGGGATTAGGACTAGCTTTGCTGTGGTGGTCTGGAACCAAACCCACAGTATCTCCAAGGTATGCCTCTATATCAGCGCTTCTCAACCTGTGGGTCGCGACCCCTTTGGCGGTCGAACAACCCTTTCACGGGGGTCACCTAAGACCATCCTGCATATCAGATATTTACATTATGATTCATAACAGTAGCAACATTACAGTTATGAAGTAGCAACGAAAATAATTTTATGGTTGGGTCACAACATGAGGAACTGTATTTAAAGGGCCAGAAGGTTGAGAACCACTGCCTATATAAAAGCAATATTGGGTCTGTTAGCTGCTGTTAAGAATAAATCATTGATGATGACCAAGGGCAGATACATAAATTAGATGGCCTTTGGGTAATGCAAAATTGCCAAAACACTTGGCACCTGTGTCTCACACTCGGGAAAGCAGTCAGAATGATGTTAAAAAGGTAAGCCGAAATGTTCCCAAAGTTTATCAAAGTTACATCACATTTGTCTGAAAACTTCACTTGAGAAAAACTGTACTGAAAGCTTACTGTTTCGTTTCCCCCAAACAGTACCTGCTCCCTTCCAGGTCACCTGTACCAGGAGACCCAAAATGTCATCCCTGGGGAGCATTTTGGCAGATATTTAACCACCAGAAAGTCAGTGTCCTTCTAAGGAGAATGATATGCAAGGAAAAATACCAGCATCTTACTGGTTTCCATGGGATCCCTTTTAAGCTTGTCAACACGACAAGCCAGCCTTTCGTTTAACATAGGGCCTCTCTGAGGATAACTTATTTTTACAAACTCATGGTGGTTGCTATTTGGCTCTTGCATTCCGAGGTGTTTGTAAACTAGGTATTGCACTTTAGAATTTAGTCTTCTCGGAAGTCCAAGCTAAACTTCTTAACCCTGTAATTTTGAGAACCAGCCTCTCTCGAAAGATGAGTCCGGTGGCTACCACTGAAAAGCGGATTCCAATCCCAGATAACAATCCTAAAATCAAGGCAGCTGGAAGAGGTTCAAACTCAAGGAGCCAGGTGGGCCCAGGACCTCACAGGGCGGTGATTAAATTTTACTTGCAGAGCAATGCTCAGGGAGCAGCGCCGGGCGCGCAAGGACGCAATGCCCGTTAACATTTAACCAGCACCGGGGGAGCGGGAAGGCGCTGGGGCCGGCTCAGCGGAACGGTGGGCCCGGCTGGA